GTCGGATGTTGCAGTCATGCTATTATTTATACTATGCTTAGTTCTAGAAAAGGATGAGATGGCTTTCATAAGCACAGACTTGACATGAAGGAAAAAATAATGGTGAGAAGGAAGTCTAGGATATGGGTAGTATGTGCTTGTGCGCGCGCACGAACACACACTGGTGGTCAGCTATAGATCTGGACTGTGAGCTTCCACATGGAGAACCTGGACTCCGGAGGCCTGATCGGAGTCCAGGTCTGTTACCCCATGGTGGCCAGTAGAGCTCAGTGTACCCTGGAGTTAGGCCATCAGGGTTCAAATCCCAACTCTGACTATAACTGAGGACGACCTCGGGTCTAATTTCTTTGTGCCTTGATGTTATCATATTAAATGGGAGATAATGGCCCTTCCCTCATAGAGCTTTGTGAAGATTAAATAAGTTAATACATGTAAAAGGCTTTTGAATAGAGGCTGGCAGAAGGTAAATAATTAGGATCTTGCATAGCATTCAATAGATGACAGCTGTGGTTATTAATCTTCTGGCTGTGTGGCCTTGGGCAAACCAATTCCAATCTCTTTGCCTTTAAAGCTGTCTCCTGCTGACCTCACAGTGTTCTGGAGAACACACGCAGTGGTATGTACATAAAGGAATTCAGTAAACTAGAACATACTAGACAAATGTTGGTTGTTGCTGTAACCAAGACTCTGGGACACAAATCCCAGATAATTATTCTGAGCTCCCCTCTCAAGTTTTAGCTTTCACTTCTCTGCTTTCTTCCTGGCTAGAGTAAAGAAAGTTCAAAGGAGAAAAAACTAACAGTCCGCCAAGATCTTGAGGACAGATATGCTGAACATGTGGCTGCCACCCAAGCGCTACCCCAGGACAGTGGGACAGCAGCTTGGAGGGGCCGAGTGTTGCTTCCGGAAAGCCACAGGAGACACCAGTTGTCGGAGGACATGCTAACCATCCACGGTCTCCCCACAGAGGGTTACCAGGCTCTGTACCATGCTGTGGTGGAGCCAATGCTGTGGAATCCTTCAGGGACCCCCAAGAGGTACAGCCTGGAGCTGGGCAAGGCCATTAAACAAAAGCTCTGGGAGGCTCTGTGCAATCAGGGTGCCATCTCTGAAGGTGCTCAGAAGGACCATTTCTCTGGCAGGAAGCGGCCGGGTGTCCACGAGGAGCCTGTACACAAGAAATGGCCCAAATTAAAGAGCAAAAAATAGAAACAGGAACTCATGGGATTAGGGTATTCTCTGCTAGAGATCTGAAAAATAAACACAACTTTGCACCTTCCGTGTCATCTCAGAGTGCTTTATAAATTAGCAACACCCTCTGAGGGAAACAAAGAGGTACCAGATTCACTCAAGACCACGGGTGTCTCTCCACTCATGATCAGGTAATTTTTTTTTTTTAAGACAGAGTTTCACTCTTGTTGCCCAGGCTGGAGTGCAATGACCTGATCTCTGCTCACTGCAACCTCTGCCTCCTGGGTTCAAGTGATTCTCCTGCCTCAGCCTCCTGTGTAGCTGGGATTACAGGCATGCGCCACCATGCCCAGCTAATTTTGTATTTTTGGTAGAGACGGAGTTTCTCCAAGTTGGCCAGGCTGGTCTTGAATTCCCAACCTCAGGTGATCCATCCGCCTCGGCCTCCCAAAGTGCTGGGATTACAGGCCTGAGCCACCATGCCCGGCCATGATTTGGTAATTTTGAGGGGTAGATGCTTGGAGTATTTTTCCTCTAAGGCCTTGAGGGTCTCTTAGTCTTCCAGGTAGGAAAAGGCTTGACAGATAAAGCAGATGTTTTAAATCCAGGCTATGGTTCCCTATTTCCTTCTTTCTTTCCCTTCCTTTTCTTTCGAGACAGCTCTGTCGCCCAGGCTGGAGTGCAGTGGCATGATCATAGCTCACTGCAGTCTTGACTTCTTGGGCTCAAGCAATCCTCCTGCCTCAGCCTCCTGAGTAGCTAGGACTGCATGTACACACCATACCTAGCTTTTTTTTTTTTTTTCTCTTGGTAGAGATGGGATCTCACTATGTTGCTAAGGCTGGTCTCCAACTCCTGCCTCAAGAGATCCTCCTACCTCAACCTCCTGAATAACTGGGATTATAGGTATGAACTCCCGTGCCTGGCCGTATGGGTCCCTATTTTTAAAAAGTGGACTGCTAGGCTTGATCACTATCACTTTCCCTAGCTCCTTCTACATAGGACTGAACAGAAAGCCTACCATTCTCACAAGGATATAAACTCACACACCCTATAACAGATTCTCTCCTGTGACACTGCCTAAACCCCCAATAACCTGCACTCTAGATTAACAAAGTTATATGAATGCTTCAATGGGCAAGTTGAAGCTAAAATACTGCCCCATGCAAACCTCCCCTCGTTGAATCTGTAGGCTTTTACCGAACAGAGCAATGACAAGATATAACACATACTTGATAAAATTGTATTTTTTTTACAGTCATTTGTACAATTTGTTACAAAACCATAGAAGACTAAAACTTGTTTTAAATCATTTTTGGTCTGCAAATATGTAAAATCTGTGTGCAATTATCATGTATTTACAGGGTCTTGTGTTAGTCATTTTCAATGATTATTCCGACAATGTCACACTCTCAACATAAGACATGGCTTAAGATAAATATATTAGTAAATAAATATTCTGAGAACATATTTCCATAAATGAAATGTGCTGCTATATATATACAGAATATACATAAGTTGTTTTCTAGCTTTTAAAACATTTTTTTAAAAAATGGTAATGTTGAAAAAAAGAGCCCTTAGACCATTTTATTACAAAATCTTTACAGCAAAGTCTTTACAAAATCTCTTTTAAGTGCTATGGGAGAAATTAAAAAAATTAAAAATAGTGCCTCGTTAGACCAACACCATAGAGTTTACATAGAGTAGAAAAAGGCAGTTCTGTTTAAAGAATGATATTCTAGATTAATTATTTAGACCTCATTTTAAAAGCATTAGTCCTGCATGAACTTTGAGTAGAAACTAGCAGCACAGAAGGATGTGAGCAGTGGGACAGATGGGGCTTTATTTTACAAAAGGGCTTGGGTTAGGAGGAGGGGGAAGGGGCTGAGAGTTAAAGCCAGCTTACTGGGGCTGTGTCCATAAAGAGGTACCTTGTTGGTAAACACCCAAACTTCCATTTTTAGCTGGTTCTAGAACTCTACATTGAAGGTGGCTGTCCCACACCCAGGGATGGGTCACTTGACCATGCCCAACGGTCACACCTCAACTTGGAGGAATTGGGGACAGGGGTTCTCAGTGGAAAATGGGATACTCCCAGGTTCCATGGCTATAAAAACACTACACACCACTCAGAGTCCACCAAAACGGGTGTGTGTCATTGGTGGAGTCTTACAACTTCAAAGAGGACATTTATTTTGATTTATGTGTGACAAAATAAGATCGTTGGTTATTTTATTCTGGCAATCCCCCTGACTGATAAGCCAACACAAATTTAAAAGACGATGGTTGGTATTTAAGGTTTTGAAATTGCATTTTTCTTTCTACCACCTGTAAGCTACAAAAATTAAATGGGTTTCTTTTGACATCCGCAGCTATCACTTGTTCAAGTGAAAATTAGAGGCTGGGCGTCATGGCTCACGCCTGTAATCCCAGCACTTTGGGAAGCCGAGGTGCATGGATCACAAGGTTAAGAGATCGAGACCATCCTGGCCAACACGGTGAAACCCCGTCTCTACTAAAAATACAAAAA